TGCACTCCCCGACCCCTCCCCCTTCAATTAAGGCAGGCTCCACCCTGGAAATCCAGAGCGCGGCATCTCTTGCGCAAAGTGCGAGGCGAGGCGGGTGCCGATCTCAAGGAAGGCGCCGACCTCGGCGGCGGACAGCTCGTCGGCCACCTTCGCCTCCTCCTCCTCACGCTCGGCCTCCCCGACCCTCCTGCGGGCCCTCCTTTGGGCGTGCCTGCCAATTCTGGTCTGGCCGCATGGCTTGTCCTCGTCGCGCTCGTCGAGATGGGTCGGTAAAGCCTGCGGGGCCGGTGGGGTGGTTATTATTGGAAACGGCTGGCTGGCTCTCGTAGTTATCCTCTTCTTCCTCCCATCCCTGCGTGTTCATGTCGACGATGTGGGTCTCCGCGGGCTGATAAGCGACGAAGACTGGCGCGGCTCCATCTGGCGTGGCGGTGGTGTCGGCAGCGGCCTTCCGTAGGGCCTCCGCGGCGCCTCATTGCATGACGCGCGGGTTGCCGAATACCTGCCCCGATCTGATGCCGCCGGGGATGCTGAACGTCTGGCGGTTGGCGCCGATGCCGACGTCGATGCCGAAGGTGCCGATGCGGGTGGGTGGCGGCTGTGAGTTTCGTCGCCCCAGGGGCCGATACCTTGGCCGCGAAAGCCCCACCTTAGACGCGAGGTAGGAATGCAGAATGGGACGGGCGAAGGATTGCAAAAAAAAACCCTGGATTGCAAAAAAAAAAACCGAAGGATTGCAAAAAAAAAGAAGAATTGCAAAAAAAAACAAAAAAAAACACGAAGGATTGCAAAAAAAACCCACACCTTCGAGGCGACGGCCTCCCCGCCATACCCTGATGGGCACGGGCGGGCTCCCCACCTGGAGCGCGCGCGATTCTGGCGCTCGCTTCGCTTCGCCTCCTGGGGCCCAGCTGGCGCAAAGGGGTGACCTCAGGAAATGCCGGACGGGCGGCGTCGGCGGCGCGCCCGCGCCTAGCCTTTCGGCGCAGGTAATCCGAGGGCTTCTGCAAGGGGCGGGGATTTTTACTCCTAGTCTTACACTGCCCCCATCGCACTCAAGGACCATCTCCCAAGTTTCGAGCACCCAAGAAAGTACCGACACAGTGTCGAACAAGTATCGCCTCCCAGGGCTGGGCACGTGAAAAACCTCCAGTTTTGGTATTTCCTGGGTGCTGGAGGTGTTTTCTGCTAATCAAGGCTAATGTACGTTGGAACATCATAATCCTAGTCCTCCCGTCCGATTTGTCGAGCCTGTCGTAAACCTGTGTTCGGTTGTTGTGTGTTGGTTCCCTCTGATTCGAATGTGAACCGCAGGTTGACGATTGTAACGCGACTGCGTGCGGCTGCATGACCATTTTAGCTCTTGGGGCCTGGCGCTTAGGCTGGCGCTCACACGTGGATGTTTGCACGCCTCTGAGGTGCACGCTAGTGGGTGCAGATTTCTTGAGTGAAGGGCGACGGGGCACATAGGCAAACGCTACGTAGCAAGCAGCGTGTCCGCAATATTAAGCAATCAGGCGGCGCTCAGTGCGCACTCGCCCCGCAAACGCTCTGTCGCCTGCGGGGGCATCGGAAATGCGCGATATCTGCGGGGCCAAACCGTTGCGCAACACTTCGCCGCGGCCAGTGGGCCCACGTTACTGGTGATGCTGACGTCGCCGCTCTGCTCCAGCAACTGAACGATGCGCTCGGCCACGCCGCAGGAGCTGTCGCGCAGAACCACGGGCTCCGAGAGCGCCCATGGCGCTACTCCGTATGCTATTTCCCAACCATCATGTGGTGTTGGGTCCTCGTTTTGAAGAGACGCCGCCCCGCGTTCCTCCTTCCTCCTCCTTCCTCCTCCTCCCCTTCCTCCCCCCTTCCTCCCCCTCCCACACCCATTCTGGCACACCCCTCACACGTTTCGTGGCCCCATAGGGAGCTCCACCGAAGGCCCCAGTGGCTGTGCCCGCATGCGGTTCCACCCCCCATTCTGGCACACCCCTCACACGTTTCGTGGCCCCATAGAGAGCTCCACCGAAGGCCCCAGTGGCTGCGCCCGCATGCGGTTCCACCCCCTATTCTGGCACACCCCTCACACGTTTCGTGGCCCCATAGGGAGCTCCACCGAAGGCCCCAGTGGCTACGCCCGCATGCGGTTCCACCCCTCATTCTGGCACACCCCTCACACGTTTCGTGGCCCCATAGGGAGCTCCACCGAAGGCCCCAGTGGCTGCGCCCGCATGCGGTTCCACACCCCCATTCTGGCACACCCCTCACACGTTTCGTGGCCCCATAGGGAGCTCCACCGAAGGCCCCAGTGGCTGCGCCCGCATGCGGTTCCACCCCCCATTCTGGCACACCCCTCACACGTTTCGTGGCCCCATAGGGAGCTCCACCGAAGGCCCCAGTGGCTGCGCCCGCATGCGGTTCCACCCCCCATTCTGGCACACCCCTCACACGTTTCGTGGCCCCATAGGGAGCTCCACCGAAGGCCCCAATGGCTGCGCCCGCATGCGGT